TTCTGCTCTTGGAAATGCTATTCAGGGTCACTATGTGTCCAACTCCAGGGCAATGGGTTGGTCTGGTCTAAGGTTAGGAATAGATTTGACTGTGTAGTGTGTCACTGCCTCTCTGACCATCTGAGCTGCTGGGGAGGTATTTGTACTGAGCAGAACTAGAGTCCAGGTCCATGGTGGCATCCTGGTGGAGATGGCAGCAGGGAGCCCTCATACCTGGCTTTCTGCCAAGTTCCAGCACTATGTGGTGTGTGACTTTGGGCAAACCAGTGTCCTCCTCTTCTTTTTATTACATATAAATAATCTATCCGAAGATGGAAACTCACAGAGAGGTCATGAAGATGAATGTAGCTTACCTGGAGGAACTCCATTTAAAATGATTTAAAATGAGAATAGTCTTTCTCTTCCCCCACCCCCCCCCATTCTTTGTTAAGAAAAATGAAGGCTAATTATGTGGTCAAATTAGTATAGATGATGAACTCGAAACATGGAGTCTAGCATCTCCCTCCTCCAGTGCTCACTGGTACATTTCACACCAGTGAAATGTCTTATGGGGGAGTCCCAGGAGGAGGTCTATCCATCAGCCCTTGGATTCAGGGGCACTTTGCCCCTGAGCTCAACAGCTCCCATTAAAAATAAAAAGATATTTGAAATACATTGTTGTTATTGTTAAGTGCCATCAAGTTGCTCCTGACTCATAGCAACCCTGTATAGGGTTTCCAAGGAGCAGCTGGTGAGGTTGAACAGCTGACCTTGTGCTTTAAACTGCCCTTGCAGTCCTGTGCTTTATCGTATAGCACCACACCAGGACTCCTTGCAATACATGTTGTTAAGTGCAATCGAGCCAGTTCCAACTCATAGTGACCCTGTATAGTGTTTTCAAGGAGAGGCTGGCAAGCTTGAACCACCAACCTTGTAGTTCAAACTGATTTTGCAGTCCAGTGCATTAACCCACAGAGTCACACTAGGACTCTATTGCAATACACAGAACTAGGAAAAACTGTATAATAGCAGGTAGGCAGCATTGGATTAAGGGTAGGAATTTTAATGGTATACAAAGCTGAACAATATACCTGGCACATAGTAGGCACAATGGTGATGGTGGTTATATGCTGTGGAGTTGCTTCTGACTTCTAGTGACCCTGTATAGGATTTCCAAGGGAGCACAAAGTCTCACTTTTCTCCCGCAGAGTGGCTGATAGATTCAAACTGCTGACCTTTCAGTTAGCAGCCCAACGCATAACCCACTACCTTAACAGAGCTCCTTTCATTGTTGTTAAGTGCTGTCAAGTCAGTTTGGACTCATAGCGACCTGGTATGGGGTTTCCGAGAAGAAACTGGTGGGTCTGAACTGTTGACCTTGTTGTTCGCAGTACAGTGCCACAACACGAGTTTGAAGTTCCTTAGCAGGCCAATAAAAATTAGCTGTTATGTCTGGCAAAACAAGACCTTTTACAAATATACTTTAAAACTAAAAGTAGCTCAATTATGACATTAACAACAACAAAAATTTACCATCATCAAAATAAAGAAACATATGCACTAAAGGATATTATCAAGAAAGTGAGAAAACATTCAAAATGGAAAAAAATATTTGGAAATCATATATCTGATATTTAATTTCCAAAATACATATATTTTTAAAAACTAATTCAACAACAAAAAGACAACCCAATAACAAAATGGGCATGAAAATATCCCATTATTTGAGTACTTCGATTAACTACAAACATCAACAGCAATAGTTGCTTCCTGTCCTAGCATAATTACATTTAGACAACAAGACTCAGAGCACAATGCAAGTCAGCAATGCTTGATAAAGATGCTGATAGATCTAGGTTCCATGAAGGCTGAGATTCTCTTTGTCTTGTTTGCCTCAGCATTTGGCATGTAGCTGTTGTTAAGTGCCTTTGAATTCTGTTGCAATTCACAGCTACTGGAAGCTGTAAATCTTTGTGAAAGCAGAAAGCCTCATCTTTCTCTTGGGAGCAACTGGTAGGCTCTAACCACCAACCCTGTGGTTCGGCCACTACCATTTAATAAATATTTAATCTTACCTCAATGATTAAATCATTTTCAATGTGCTAACCTTAGCTCTGTGTATATGTACACAGGATTATTGTGTGGATCAATTCAAATTTTAAAAAAAGCAAACAACACACTCTATTTTGGCATTTTACACTTGATGGAAGAGCTAGGTGTTCAATAACAAGCTATTCAATTGAGTACACAATTAGAGTACTACTAAATGGAGAAAAAGACTAAGACTTATCACCTTTCCTATACCAAGTATTTTACATTGATTAATTTTATCTTTCCAACAATTCCATGAACTATTATCTTTTTCATACAAATGAGGAAACTTCAGTAATTAGCCGAAGGCCACACAGTTGTTAGCTATCACAGATGTGGTTATCAATCCCAAACCCTTGCCCATTAGTTTGCCAGTAACAGTGTATCTCACTTTTTCATCAAATTACCACCCAAATTGCAAAAGAAAATAAAAACATATTCCCTGGGGGCTTTGGAAGCCTACTGAAATAATCTGAGCAGTCTTATAAGTATCTTAAAATACATTTCAATTTTATTTTACAACATGCTCCTGTTTTTAAGCGTCATCGAATCTAGTCCAACTCATAGCAACCCTGCATAGGATTTACCAAGTTTTTAAAATCCTTGCAGGAGCAGAAAGTCTCATCTTTCTTCTGCAAAGCGGTTGGTGGGGCTCCAACTGCCAGCCTTGTGGATCAAAGTCCAGTGTGGCTTGCAGTCCAGTGCTTACCCAATTACTCAAATTTTCCTACCCTTCAAATATTTGCGTAAAATTGACATGATAGGAAGGTACAATTTCCATATTTGTCCCATATTTATTCCTGGTGCATGGCTTCATAAACCTGTATCCTATTGAAAACGTAACTACAGAGGAAACTGCATTAAGGAAATCTAAAGAATGATCATGAAAATAATAACCATTATAGCTACTCAAAGTCAGAATAAGATATTAATAACTAATTGGATCGCTACAGATAAAGTCTGACTACTCTCTGAACTCTCCACTGTCAATGAAACAAAATTCTCAACAACACTGATGCCATTGAGTTTGACCACAACGAAGTACTATCCTTGAAAGTGACCATCTCCTTACCAAAGGTCTTGGTTGCTTTTATAAGCATGAATAGGAATCTTGGTGTGGCGCTTTAGGGTGCGCAATCGACTGAAAGGGTGGTTTGACCTGCAAGGTCGGTGGGTGGTTCAAATCCACCAGCCGCTCCTCAGAAACCTTACAGAGGATTGCTGAGTCAGAATCGACTGAACGGCACTTAACAACAAAGCATGAATACTCCCTGTGAAAACCATTTATATGATTCCCACTGAACACCCAGACGTGGACTACAATAGAAGTTAAGCAGTGTACAGAGCAGGCAAATCGCATTTTGATTAGTCCTATCAGGGTTTCCCTGGAGTTCTGGTGTGGCGCTGGCTGTAGATTAAGCACTGGACGGCAAGTTCAGTTTGAACCACAAGGTCGGCGGTTCAAGCTCACCAGATGCTCTTCGGAAACCCAATACAGGGTCACACAACAACAACAATCAGAATTTCCCTGTCCTAACAAACGAGGAGAGCCCCACTGCCAGGGGCTCACAGTATGAAGAGGTAGTTCAGGGTAGTAAAAAAAAAAAAAAGACTAAAACCCATTGCTGTGAAGAGTCAATGACTCATAGATTTGAATTTCGGCGCCAAGAAAGCTGTGCTCAGATGGTACCATATCCTTATCTTCCTTATGGTGTTTGTGGTTGGGAGTATTTGAAAATTGTGGGATTTGCCTATGTGCTCAGCATGTTTTCACTCAGATCTTATATGAGGGATATTATCTGCAACATTTAGGAATTCCTTTAAACTGGGAAAAAAGGCAAAGATCAGAATCTTCAGCAAGCTAGGGAGTCACCTCCTTTCGCAATAAACCCTACTCACACACGCAAGGAAAGACCTCTTAAATCGCTATCCAAAACCGCCTCCCAATTCCCCTCAAAGTTCTCTATTTTAGAAGCGAGTGTTCCCCAAAGCTTGAATGCACCCCTTTCCAACTCTATCTGAACAGAGTTCTTGGGTGTCGTGACCCCTCCCTTCAGGAAGAGTGGAGCCCAGGCCCAGAGACATTACTTGCTTACTTTTCCAGCTCCTTAAATTGGGCAGGCTGTGAAGAACTAAAGGTCTCAGACACCTTCCAGCTCCAGACGTCACTCGTGGGAAGGCGTAGTGTCGGTGGGTAAGGAAACTGGGCGCCAAGTGAGCCCTGTGGCTGTCGGGGGTTGGCCCACAAACCTTCCCTGTGGCTATAGGGTGTTGGCCCACAATCCCTCACGAGGAGGGGAAAGATGGAGGGGGTACGCAAGCGCAAACTGGAGGGGTACAGAAGCGCAAGCGCAAGTGGGGTGGGGGGGACTGGTGGTAGCAGGTTAAAGGGTGAGCGGTGAGGGATGGGGGTTGGAAAGAACCTTGACTAGAATACAGATAACGTCTTATATGATCTTTCCCTGGACTTTGCACAACAGGAAAACCGGTAACTGACCAGTGTGCGTGTGTGATCATCACTAGGGGTGGGGGAAGCGAATCTTTCTCTTTAATAAAGTTTCCATTCAACAGGTCAGGGTGTAAGTGAGAAAATGTCATTCATGTGTCCCTAGGGTCCTTTGGGCCTAGCTTTTCTTTACAGTCTCCATCTACTATTTTTTTACTCTTAAATTATATGTTTGGTGGGAAAATTCTAAATGGGATTTGGAGAAATCACAATGGAAATAGTACAAGGAAAATAGTACCTAAGTGTGAAAACTTCGCAGGTAACAGAAGAGTCCCAACTTTTAAGGCCTCGTGCAGCCAGGCCGCCGACCCCGCCCCTTCCGCCTTGCGTCCAACGTCATATGACGCGGGGTGGTGTGGATCTGTATCGTTGTGCAGTCCCGGGTTTAGCTATCCGGGGTTGTGTGCGTAGGCTTCTTGCTTTGAAATGCAGCGGGATTTAGGGAGTTTTCCGTTGTCCCCAGCCGTGCGGGTGAAATTGGTGTCTGCAGGTTTTCAGACTGCTGAGGAACTCCTAGAGGTGAAACCTTCCGAGCTCAGCAAAGGTAACGATTCTCAAAGGCAAACTGATACACGGGCTGTGGTCGGCGCCGCCTCCATCGCTGCCTTCAGGTTTAGCCCAGTCACTACCAAAATTTTCCTGCTTCCTGCGACAGCGTTTACAAAGTGCAACGGCTCCGTGTTTTCCACTTAAAAATATCTGAGCGATTAGGACTATGGTCGAGGAAACGTTTACTGATTGTTTTGTTTGTTTCAGAGCCTAAGGATTATCTCATATTTAGAGAAAGATGAGGCTTTCTGCTCCCTTAAAGATTTACATTGTCGGAAACCCTGCACAGGGTAGCTATGAGTCGGAACAGACTCCACGGCACATAACAATAACAACAACTTTACTGAATTATTATGCCCACCCTATAGATGAGGGGAGTCCTGGTGTGGCGCTGTGGGTTAATGCACCAGACTGCAAAGCCGTTTGAACTTCAAGGTCGGCGTCAAGCTCACCAGAGGCTCCTCTAAACTAGCTCCTCTAAACCCATACAGGATCGCTATGGGTCTGAATCAACTCCACAGCACTTAACAACAACAACAATAGATGAGGAGTCTTGGTAGGCGCTGTAGGGTAAGCACTAAACTGCTAACCCCAAGGTCTGCGATTCGAACCCAACAGTTGCTCCTCGGAAACCTTATACAGGGTCACTAGCCCTGGTGTGGTGCAATGGTTTAATGTCCTGGACTTCAGTGTTGTTTGAACCGCAAGGTCAGTAGTTCAAGCTCGGCAGCTGCTCCTCGGAAACCCTATTAGAGGGTCGCTATGGGTTCGGAACTGATTCGACGGCACTTAATAGCAACAACAAATGAGTGGGAACCGACTTGACACTTAACAACAACATGACTGGACTGCAAGGTCAGTTTGAACTGCAAGGTCGGCTGTTCAAACCCACCAACTCCTCCTCAAAAACCCTATACAGGGTTGCTGTGAGTTGGAACTGACTCGATGGCACTTAACAACAACATAGAAGAGGAAATTGATGGGTGGTTAAGAAACTTGTTCATAATAATTAAATTTGGAAATACTGAAACTACCAGCTGCTCCGGGGAAGAAAGATGAGGTGTTCTGCTCCTGTAAAGATTTACAGCCTCGGAAACCCTGTACAGGGTCGCTATGGGTCGGAATCGACTCGTCGGCACTTAACAACAAAAACATTGATACCCAGAAAGACTGTAAATTTTCGCTGTTCCAATTGGGGAAAAAAAACAACAGGATTCCTGATAGGATTAGAGTGAGAAACTGATGCTTCTTTTAATGTGGGGGAAGTAGTGGAAAGGCGACATACCTTTTATGTAATCTCCCTCCCAATTTTTTTCAATCCCAAATTGTTCCTTAGCACTGTAGATTAAATGTTGTCAGAAACCTCTGTACATTCTGGATGTACAAAACTTGAGGCACAGAGAAGTGGAGTAATTGGCCCAAAGTCACACAGCAAGTGGTACAATCAGGATTTGCAAATCCAAGCACTCTTAACTCTAGTGTTTATGCCCATAAATTGGATTGTTATTGTTAAGTGCTGTTGAGTCTGCTCTGATGCATCACAATGCTTTCCAAGGAGCAGCTGGTGGGTTTAAACTGCTGACCTTGTGGCTGGTTCACAGTTCATTGCTGATCCCTACAGTGCCACACCAGGAATTAAGTAAATTGGATAGGAACTTAATTTCTTAAATGTTTATTACCACCATTATCATTTGTTAGCACCAAGTTCATAGTCTGTATCAACAATAGACTCAAATACAGCAATGATTGTATAGGTGGCACAGGACCAGGCAGTGGTGTGTTCTGTTTGTTATACCAAAACTGGCTCTACTGTACCTAACAACAGCAGTGTTCCAGCTCCAGCTCTGATTTACCAAACTTGCTAAGTGAAATCACCCTCACCATTGTTTCTTTAATCAGCTTGTTTTGTATTTACCATCCTTCTTCTCTGGCACATGTCAGATAGGAAGGAAATTATGTAGTTGAAAAAGCTTGTGTATTTAAGATAGTTGTACATAAAGTAATTATTCAATAGTTTGAAATAACATTAATTTCACACTAGTGTTTCTATGAAAAGTTTTTATTATGGATAATCCATATACTTCAAAGTTATACCTTATTTTAGGCAGGTTAAAGAAGTTAATTTCATTCTCTTCTAAAAAAATCATTTGTATACTTTATGAGAGCAAGATAATTATGTCATCATCGGACCAAAAGGGATAGTGAAAATGTTACTATTACATTTTTATTTCTCCTTCTGAGATAGTCTTGTGAAAAGCTCAGAGATGCTTTCTTTGAATTCTGTTTCTGAAGTAATGGATATATCTTTTTTTTTTTTTCTTAAATGTTTTATTGTGAATTATGTGATAGTTTACATGGGAGCACATTAGTTTTACATTCATTCTAGCGTATAGTCTCATTGCCATGGTTACAATCCCCTCCATGTAATCCTTCCCCTGTACCCCCCAGGTCTTCAGCACACAGTCACTCTCCATCTCTGGATCTAAAATCTCCAGCTGCTCCATCGCTCCACGTCATCATCTCTGGCTCCATTTCAGGCATCACTGCTTCTCTGGGTAGGGTCCCGCTCTCTGCTCTTCTCCCTTGATGGTCCTAGGGACCTTCGTTCCTAGACTGAAAAGTTAATCACTCCCCTCCTTGCTATAAAACGTCTCTACCTTTACATTTCCAACCCTCACAATCAGTTCTGATAACAATTACTCACTATTGTATCACAAGAGACCCATCTGCATTTCATTGCATCAGCCCTGCCTAGTCAGATTGAATACTACTCACTGGAGAGTCTACCTTCCTCCAGGCCCTCTGGATCTAGGTTCCCTCTTGAAAGCTTGTAAGCCAGTCACTTCTTGCCTTTGTAGCCCCCCGCCCCCCATTTTGGGTAGCCAATGTCCAAGTTGCCCATCCCTGTCTACTCTGTGTGTGGAGGGGGTGGGAATGATTCTTGTTGACCTACTGCTTCCATAGGTGTAGGTCAAGTTCATCTAATTGTATGAGAATACTTTTTTTTTTTCCCCCTCTTCTTTTTACTTCTGGTTGAGCTCTGATCATCCAGTCACTGAAGCCAGGGTAAGTGGGTTTTATCTGCAAGTGTGGGTGTTCTTATGCATATGCCCTCTCTTTTTATCAGCTGGACGCTTCACTCTCCACTCTAGTCCTCTGTGGCTATATCATTGACTCTGGGCCTAAGAGTCCCCAGGTCTTGCCACACTGCTGGCCAACCAGGTCTTCACCCGGGTTCATTGCTGTTTTTCCCTCACTTCCCCTTATCAGTGTCGAGCATGGTCACCAATCAGATTGTGTATTCCCATTGAGTCTTAGTCTTAGAAGGGGGTTTGCACTGAGGGGACCCGACCACTTGCCTTGATGTTTCCTGGGCAAGCATGTTGCTTGTTCTTGTAGTAACAGTTGGTCTGCCTATGTTGTTTTATATTTTTCCTGTAGGTCTTTCTTTCAAGAATTACCTTCTGTTCTTGTAGCCACTCCAGGTTGGTCTGCTTGTCCTTTCAAGTGGGAATTTCCCATCTCTGGGGATCTGGATGTGGTTCAGGCTTCCACCTATAGTCTTATGTATTGCAGAGGCTCCGCAGGAGCCAACTTGTTATTCCAATCAGTTATAGGCAGAAGACAGACTTACAAGCTTTCTATGGTGATGCATTTCGCTATTCCTTTCTCTCCTCCTCCAGTGTCTATTTCATAATATAATGCAAGGAAAACCAAGATTCAAAAGACAGCCAAGCATCTTAATATTATTCCCCCCTTTTCCACATTCCAACCATGGCTCGATCTCTGTATCCCAGAACCCTGTTGTTCTCAAGTTGTGCATATATCATTATTTACCTCTGTCTCATTTAGCCCATTGAGACTTGTCTAATTGTTCTCCCATCTGCTTTGTTCTTCCATTCCCCTCTCCCTACTTGTATATTGCCCCCTCCCTAGCACCCAAACTATCCTGTGTCTAATCCCTGCCCTGTGTTCCACCTTCCCCTCCCTCCCTTCCCTCACCCCCAACATCCCAATAATCAACAAAGAATCCCCCTCACCCTCCTTTAGTATGGGTTCTTTCCCTTAGTCTTTTACAGTAGTGGTCCTATGCAGTATTTCTCTTCTTGTGACTGACTAATTTCACTCAACATAATGCCCTCAAGGTTCATCCATGTTATGTGGTGGCTTGCAGCTTCCTTGTTGTTCTTCAAGGTAGCATAGTATTCCATTGTGTGTATGTACCACAGTTTGTTTGAAGTAATGGATATATCTTTTATGTGAAGACCAGGAGAACATAGACAAAATGTCTTTATTAACTTAAATAGAATGTCACATTTTTATGTTTCTCTATTCTTGGTATTTCTCTTGTTAACCCAAAAATTATAATTAAGACAACCCATCTGAGTGCCAACAAGTTGGTTCTGACTCATAACAGTCCTGTATAGGGTTTTCAAAGGAGCAGCTGGTGGGTTTGAACAGCTGACCTTTCAGGTATGCAGTCTAGTGTTCACCCTATGTACCACACCAGGAATGTTAGTTTTAAATCTCTAAAATCATTGTTTTCTCTTTATTTTACTTTCAGAAGTTGGGATATCTAAAGAAGAAGCCTTAGAAACGCTGCAAATAATAAGAAGAGAACGTCTCACAACTACACCGAGACCTGCTGGTACCTCTGAGTCAGGCAAGAAGTGTACAGCACTGGAGCTTCTCGAGCAGGAGCACACCCAGGGGTTCATAATTACCTTCTGTTCAGCACTAGATCATATTCTTGGAGGTGGAGTACCCTTAACGAAAACAACAGAAATTTGTGGTGCACCAGGTGTTGGAAAAACACAATTATGGTAAAATATTTTTCTCTTAAGGGTGGGCTTAATAATGTTTCATGTAAGTAAGTCTGTAGTCAGGAGAAAGCATATATTGACTCTACAGTTTATGTTTGTGTGTGTAAAAAAATAATTTGCTTTTGCCATTATTACAGTTGTTGTTGTTAGTGCCATCCAGTCAGTTTTACCTCGCAGTAACCCTGCATAGGGTTTCTGAGGAGTGGCTGGTGGGTTTGAACTGCCGACCTTGCAGTTCCAACTGACCTTGTGGTCCAGCGCATTATCCTGCAGTGCCATTGTTGTTAGGTGCCATCAAATCAGTTCCAACTCAGACCAACCCTGTGTAAAATAGAACAAAATCCTGCCCAGTCCTATACCAGCCTTACAATTGTTGCTATGCTAGAGCCCATTGTTGTAGCCACTATATTAATCTATTTCATTGAGTTCGTCATCTTTTTCACTGACCCACTACGAAGCATGATCTTACTTAAGTACCCATCTTAAAAAATAGATGCAATTATTTTCATTTAAAAACATGTTTCCTTTGTAGCCTGTAGTATGACCATTAAGGTACACAGGCTGTCTTCTGCTTTATTTTATATTCTTGAAGCTATAATTGGAAGTCAAATGTTTGAAACTAGACTTTTATATAATAAGAGAGAGTTCTGTTCCTACAAACCTAAAAACTCTTGTTGTAAAGTGCTGTCAATTCATAGCAACCCTGTATAGGGTTTCCAAGGAGCAGCTTATGGATTTGAACCTCCAACCTTGCAGTTCAAATCACCCTTGCTGTCCAGTGCATTATTATACAGCACCACACCAGGACTCTAAAATGAATTCTCATGCGACCTAAATGGGACTTGAACTCACAAATCCCCAGCTCCTAGAGACCTTGTATAGGGTTTCCAAGGAGTGGCTGATGAGTTTGAACTGCCAACCTTGTGGTTTAAACTGCCTTGCATTCCATTTATCCTACAATGCCACATCAGGACTCCTGAGTCTCCATTGTTGTTGTTGTTAAGTGCCATTGAGTCGGTTCCGACCCATAGCGACCCTGTACAGGGTTTCCGAGGGTGTAAATCTTTACGGGAGTAGAAAGCTTCGAAATGCTGACCTTAGGGTTCGCAGCCCGATTCGTAACCACTACGTTACCAGAGCTCCTTTAAAAATCCCTTAATCCTGGTCTTTTGGACACGGTTTGCCTCTAATCCAAATAGCAGTTGATTCCCATGTGAGTATCTGACGTTATATATCACTTTGAGAAATTGAGCAGTCAAGTCAGATCAGGTATCTACTTTTTGCATGTACTGCGTAGCGCTATAGGATAAGAACTGAACCAAAAAGTTAGCAGTTCAAACCTATACCAGCCGCTCCTTGGAAACCTATGCAGGGTCACTAATAAGTGGAAACCAACTCATCGACACCACAACAGCCCTTGTTTTCAGGGTTTCTTATTCAGGTAGTCTCTAAACTTTAAACTTTGTTGTCCAAACACCTTAAGAGATAGGAATGCAAAGTCTGGGGAAAGAAGGGATTTTTGCTTTAGAACCAACTTTTTCTTATTTCCATTGCTTACAGAGTATTACTGTAAGGGGAGAGTTGAACAGCTGTCTTTGTGAGAAACAACTAGATTGCTTGCAAAGTCCAGGCCTCACTTACAGCGCTCCTTAATAGGGATTACAAGAGGAAAATAGAAACTTCTGTTTGACAGAATAGGCCTCTAAAAGTACCTGCCTATAAAAGTATTCTTGGAGTCCTGGTATGGTGTAGATAAGCACTAGACTGTTAACCACAAGGTTGGCGGTCCAAACTCATCAGTTGCTCCTTGGAAACCCTATAGAGGGTCACTATGAGATGGAACTGACTCCATAGCATTTAACAACAAAAAGGATTCCCTTTACTCTTTTCTTTCCGCCTATAATATACAAATACACTTCTGAGAGCAAGCCATTTCATTTTTTAAGCTGTAGTGTCTGACTGGCAAGCAGTCCCACTTATGTAGTAAGTTAAAAATATCCTTAGCCTTATATGAAGGCAGTTTTAATTTGGTGTCGGAAAAATTGGTTTAAGAGTGTCAGTGTGAAATGTGAGGACATAAGTATTAGCAGGAGAAAAATGAGGCTTTCTGCTCCTGTAAAGATTTACAGCCTTGGAAACCCTATAGGTTGCTGTGAGTCAGAACTGACTCGATGGCACACCTCCACCACCACTGTGTATTAGTTAACTGAAAGTTGAAGACATCTCAAAATGCTTTGCTGGATTAGGTATTACTAATGCTTTATTTTTTTGGTTCCCAAGTTTTATTCAAGGGTTTGTACAGAATACTCCAAATTAGTGAATTTTAATCCTCATTTTACTCTTCTTCACGCTGGTTAATCTGGAAGTCATCTAATCAGATTTCTTTGCTGTCAACCACAATGCATAATCAATCTTGTAGATAATTATTCTTAAAATATTTTTTGTGAGCTATTTCAGATAATTTAAAAGACAGCTTGGAATCATTCTCTTGCTTCTTTCAATGGTTACAACCTTTTCTCCACCTAGATTAACTTTCTTTCTTTTTAACTTGTTAATTAATCATTAACTTTATTTTTTTAAAAACTTTTTAATTACACCTGAATGAAGAACAGATCATCAGTTTTACATTCAACAGATCGTATATCTTGCTTCAGTACAATGATTGCAGTTCCCTCCATGTACCATTATTTAACAGTATTTGCCTTTTTCACTTGACCTCTTGCATTATTCTCTGTCTTGCTACTTTTCATCTTTCCTCTGTCAACCTCTCGCTTGTTCTATGTTGCCTGCCCCATTACCCATGTTAACGTGTCTACCCCCAGCCATCCACCCCCCACCCTGGTTGTGGTTGTTGTTAAGTGTTGTAAAGTTGGTTTTGACTCATAGTAACCCTGTATAGAGTTTCTGAAAGTGGCTGGTGAGTTTGAACCACCACCCTTGTGGTTCAAATGACCTTGTTGGCCCAGTGTTAATCCTACAGTGCTACACCAGGACCATCATAAAATGTTTCTTTTATCAGGAATATTTTTCCTTAACTTTTTACAACATTGGTTTCATTATATATTTGTCCTTTTGTGATTGACTAATTTCACTCAGCATACTGTCCTTCAGGCTTATCCATGTTGTGAGATGTTATGCAGATTCAGCATTACTTTTCAACTTTGGGTAGTATTCCATTGTGTGTATATACCAAAGTTTGTTTAACCATGCTTCTGTTGATGAGCGTTTAGCCTGTCCCCATCTTTATTTGCTATTATGAGTAGTGCTGCATTGAACATGGGTGTGTCATGTGTCCATTTGTGTCACATTTGAAATGAAGGTGCCATGTCTTATTTCTTGAGGGTATATACCAAGTAGAGGATTGCTGTATTATATGGTATTTCTATTTCCACCTTTTTGAGAAAACACCATACTGTTTTCTACAGTGATCCGCACCATTTTACAGTCCCATCAGCAGTGTAGTAGGAGGGTCCCAGTCACTCCATACACTCATCAGCATTTGTTTTCTGCACTTTGCTATTAATGCTGTAGTAAGCACTTAACAACAACAACAAAGATGATATCTCATTGTTGTCTTGATTAGCAGATAATGGAGTCCTGCTGTGGCTCTGTAGGATAAGCCCTTGACCACAAGGTCAGTTTGAACTGCAAGGATATACAGGGTTCCTATGAGTTAGAACCAACTCACTCAACAACAATCACAAATGATCATGAACTTTTCTTTATATGTTTGTTGACCTTCTGAATGTCTTCTTTAGTGAAGTGTCTGTTCATGTTGTCTACTCATTTTTTAATTGGATAATTTGTCATCATTTTGTTGAGATATTGAAGTGTTCTATATATTTTAGAAAGTAGTCCTTTGTCTAATATGTTACTGCCAAACCTTTTTCCCAGTCTTTGGGTTCTCTTTTTACTTTTATGGTGAAATCCTTTAATGCACATGTTGTTGTTAAGTGCCATTGAGTCAGTTCTGACTCATAGCAACCCTGCATAGGGTTTCCAAGGAGCAGCTGGTGAATTTGAACTGCCGACATAGTGATTCACAGTCCAGTGCTGATCCTACAGTGCCACACCAGGAGTCCTTGATGCATATAAGTGTCTAATTTTTTGGAGGTCCCAGTCATCTATTTTGTCTTCTGTTTGTCTGTTTTCAGTTATGTAGTGTATTTATGCAGTGCATCAGAGCTCCTAAGTTTGTCCCTGTGTTTTTCATTGATGATCTTTTTAGTTCTAGGTTTCACAGTTAGTGTGGTATATTCTTTTATTTTTTAAGTCTCTTTTGGTTTCTTGTAGTTTTGTAGTTTTCTTTGTATAGGTCTTTTGTTTCTCTGGTTAGATTTATTCCTAAGTAAATATGAGTAAATGGTATTGTTTTCCTAATTTCTTTTTCAGAGCTATTTTTATTAGCGTATAGGAATCCAACTGATTATTGTTTATTTATCTTGTACCCTGCCACTTTGCTGAATCTTTCAAGGAGTTCCAATAATTTTCTTGCTGAGTCTTAAAGGATTTTCTCTGGATAGGAGTATATCATCTGCAAATAGAGGCAGTTTTACTTCTGTGCCAATTTAGATGTCTTTAATTTCTCTTTCTTGCCTTATTGGCTAAGATTATAATACTAGGATGGTGTTAACAAGCATCCTTGTCTGGTTCCTGTTTGCAAAGGGAATGCTTTCAGTTTCTATCCATTGAGAGCCATGTTGGGAGTTGGATTTATATATATGCTCTTAATTATGTTGAAGAGTTTTCCTTCAATTCTGACTTTTTTGTTGTTTTTTTTTCCCCTGTGTCAAACTTCTTTATTTCCCTCTAGTCAAGTTCTGATCATCAAGCCATCCAAGCTAGGTCAAGTGGGTATTATCTGCAAGTCTGGACATTCTTGCATGCCTCCCTCCACTTTATATCAGCTGGATGCTTCACTCTCAGCTCTAGTCTCCAGTGT